ACACACACACACACAGCTTCTTATCTGGATCCAGGAGGAAATGAATACCCGGTGTTGATGTCACAACAGTGCTAAGAAGAATGGTGCACATCAGACTGAACTATAAACAAATCAGGAAGCGAGACAGGGTGGAGAAATTTGGAGCAGCCCGAGTGCAGAGAGGACAAAAAAGGAACGGGAGGGAGGGCATGAAAAAAAACTAACAAAAAAACTAGAACATTTGCAAAAGGGAAAAAAACCTCTTTTTTTCCCCCCACTCTGCTATTTTTTCATTGTCTTTTTCATCAGTTTCCAGATGCCTTTTCTCAACAAAACACCAGCAAAGAATCCAAAAACAGTAACAAGTCGAATCATTTTGAAAGAAATTAGAGCGCTTGTTACTATTAAATGAAAAAGTACTTAATTATGAATGAATATCAACATATCACTAAAGTCAAATATGAATTAAACAGTACCACCGATGGCATTTTTCTTACCTCAATCGACGAGAGGTAACTGCACTCATTGTCAATACACACCCGTGCAGTTCCAAATGTATTTATTCGAGTTCTGGACTACTTAGGAAAAAAATTGTTCTAACACTTCTATCTCCCGAAACAGGACTCATCACTGCAAATTACCAAAACAAATCCAGCTCTGTCATAAAACTGATCCACATTCCCCAACGTGACTTCCAGTGCAATATAACCTCATGCAGCCTAATCTGAGCCAAAGCACACTGAGAATAAAAACGCGCAAAACAGAGATGTAACTCTGCAAATGGTTTCAAATCTGCTGGAACGAGACCATACCATTCAGAGAAACAAGAGGAGGGGAGACAAAAGATGTAAAAAGGATTGAGGGAAAGCAGGCACACATGGTTTTACTCCAGTCGGGGGGCTGAACCCCTAAATGGACCTCCACATTCATGCTGGTTTGCTCAGTTAATCTGAACCTGAGGGGGCTGACTGGAAAGGCACCCGCTCACACACCCCTTTATGTTTTCTGTCTTCCGTAAGCTGATCCCTACAACTCTAATCAACAGAGTCCTCCCCCCTTAACTCATGCTACACGCTCAGTTCTACACATCCTATTCTCCAAGGAGGGAACATGAAAGGCAGGAAACTCTTTTTTTATTTAATTTTTTGCTAGCAAGCCCTCCCCATTTCATCCAACTTTCTGTCCCATTTCAACTTATTCTAAAGACGTCTTTAACAGTTATTTTCATCAGCGCATACACACTGCTGACAGGCCTTTGTGTCACCTACCTGGAGATGTTGTCAGGTGAGCAAGCAGAGATGCTGGTTTCAATAGAGTCACTACTATCCACACTCATTGTGTCAAAGGCCTGGTTTTCACGGTACCCAAAGGCATCGAGGTAGACGTTGGTCTGAGAAGCAGCTCGGGAGCTCGGCTGACCTGGATACACACAAACGCAATGAAGACGAAAAAGGATGAATTCTCCAGTAGCAACCAAGGTTACTTACTCCTCCTGCCCACGCATCAACCCAAGTCTTCTACCTGTCGGTGTAACTTCTTCTGGGACAGACTGCCCAGACGGGTTCAAATTTTGATTACAATGCCCCGCCACCGTTACACTGTGTACTCACACGTCCCGGGAAAAAATATATCCAGGCCTTAATGCTGCGATTAGGTGAAACTGCGGCCTAACAGTAAAACACTCAAGCACACAAAATAAATGGAAAATAAAGAGGAAAAAATATTTTCTGTAAAACAAGCACAGAAACAGGTTTTGAGATTTAAAAATGAATAAAAACAGCAGCCTGAAACTGTCCAAAGACTTCTGGAAAGACAAAAAGATATTCTCAAGAAGCTGACGGATGAATGATGACAGATCTACAGTGCGGACACTTTAAAGAGAGACTAACTAAACCTCCTGGTACAGGAAGAAACACACACACACACAAAAACTGATACCATCAGCTCTGTTTACTAGACCCACCCATCAGATGAGCCAGATCAGGGGACTAAAGGGGCCAAGGCATCAGATACACGTGCCAGTTCCCAGAAAACAACGACAGTACTCTTACAACATGAGACACACAGTACTTCAAAATGATCCCCCAAAATACTGATTTGTTGTCTGAAGGGCAATGAAAAAATTATTTTATGAAAGACTAAACTACTTATTCTTATGTCTAAGTAGGTGCAAATCTAAATTTAATTTATAATAGCGATGCCTATGCAAAAGGTTGCTATGGAGAGGAGGCATGGTGTCCTTCAGGTGGCATCCTGTATCTTTCTGGGCCAAACAGCAAACATCCACACAGAGTGCAAACGCTTTACACTCTTGTGTGTCATATTTTCTTAACAGTGAAGACGTTACAACAGCTCGTGTAAATCCCCACGAAGTGATGGAACGCTCACATTCCTCCACTGACAGATAAGCAAATGTGGAATTTATCAAAACACAATGAGGTGCACACCCACAAACAAAGCCTCTTGCTGGGATATTGTCTCCATATAAGGTGCATTTTCAAATCCCAGCTCAGCGATGAGTGTGGTTTTGTGTGTTTGTGCGATACACGAGAGAAAGAAAAAAAAAAAAAAAAAGAGTAAGATCAAGTGAAGTTAAGTGTATTTGTGTGTGTGTGTTTTACCTTTATGCAGACGTCGAGATTCACTTTCCTTATTGGATAAACTGAGGATTCTTGGAAGAATACTGCCACAACTTGTAGTCTGTACCAGAGGCTGATGGGACTATAAAGAATCAAGAAGACAGAGAAGAAATGGGTGCTTCATATTCTATTTATAATAAACACTATAACTCAAAGGCCAAGTGGTGAAGCCGAAAAGTGATACACAGACCAAGTCTGACATTTAGTGGTAAATTTGTAAACCAATCATTTCCACCATAGTTTTCGTAAAAAAACGTTGTTTTCTGATGAAGATCGAGACGATAACTAAACAAAAACTAATGCACAAGGACAAAAACTATGATGAAACATACTGACACATTTGTCAATGAATAAAATGAGATCCAATCAGAACTAATTAAGCTGCGCAGAAAGGCGGGACGAGTTTGGAAGTGATCCAGGTTAGACATGCACATCACAAATAGCTCCCATGCTCCCTGTTTCTCATGAAAACGTGACAAAATGTCAGCGCTTTGGAGGAAGAGAAGAGCAGACATATGAACACATCTCGCATTTGATGTCAAGGAAAATAAGATGCTCTGTGAACTCCCATCTGTAAAAACACCACAAAGTTTCACACTAAATCAACTTTAGATTTAATCTAATATAATCTAATCATATTTAGTCGGAAGTTGCTGTCACTTTTTTTTTTTTTTTTACATGCACAATCATCTCTGTTTGTACCTTTGTGGGGAAGCTGCGCCCGAGTGTTGCACACATAAACTGGGGATTCATGGCGGTCGCAGTTTTCTTCCTAGGTAATGTATCACTTAGATGTGAGCAACTTTCTTTCTCAGACCTCTTCCTCTCCTCCAGCAGACGGAAATGCTGATGAGACACACACACACAGAAAACATGAACACAATTACCAAAAATTTAAATTATTCATGTCACTTTCAGTCATGTATCAATGTCCCCATACTTTAAGTGTAACGTAAAGTCTTGGTGTGCAGGATTTAAAATGTCTGGCGCCATCTGCTGGAGGATCAATAAGTCACAGTGGCAGAAGTGCATTCTCCCTTTCTTAACCCACATTCAATAATTTTACTCTTTAGACAGATGGATCTAGTTTCAATGTAATATGCTTGTGATATAAAAATAAACACACAGTTGTTTACACACCAACACACACACACAGTCGTGTTTTCATGTTTGTGGGGACATCTAATTGACATTATGTTTTCCCTTGCCGCTTACCCTAACCTTAACCATCAAAAATGAATGCCTAACCTTAACTCTTACCCTAAACTGAAACATAACCTAATTGTAACCTTGACACTAAAAACACATTTTGAGTGAGGACAGGCATTTTGTCCCCATAATGGCTGGGAGTCCCCACAAGTATAGGAGCATGCCAATTTTTGGTCCCCACAAAGATATGTAAATATGGTATACATATACACACACACACACACACACATTACCTGCCTGTGTTGCTGATGGCGCTTTTTGACAGGAAGGGGAGGTGGGGGGGAGTCTGGGAGAGGGGAAGGGTCTCGATATGTCACCATGTTCTCTGGCCAGTGCACAGAGGGTGTTTTTGGAAGGGGGCGGGGATTTAGACGGGAGGAAGAAGAAGGAGAGGAGGAAGAGGAGTGACAGTCGGCAGGTGAGGAAGAACGACAGAGCTTCGGAAAAAGAAAGGAACATTGTCAGAAAGCTGAAATGAGCGCAGAAACAGGAAGACAAGCTGGGGGAGAGAACCAGCCGCACACTTTGCACCATCCGCCTCGGCGTACTTATCTACACACGATAAACCCGTCACACCACTACACACACCTCATCCTCCGCTGGTTTGGGGGTGTCCTCATCAGGGGAAAGGGTTGCCTCGGGCTCAGGAGAGGCTTTGGTCAGAGTGGGGGCAGGAGCAGCTTTAGGGTCTTGCCCAAGCTGTGAGTAAAGCTCATTGATTTCACTGACTGTGACATAGCCCTGCAAGGTGTCATGTGGAGAGAGAAGGGGTGAGGCATAGCGGGAAGTGAGTTAGCTGTGGAAATTAGTTGTTAGAACAATGCAAAAATTTAGTGGCAATTTCAGAAATAAGTTATTTACACACAACACTGTTAACACGAGACAAAGGACACACTAACAAGATTATGTCAGCATTAATATACAGTACGTGGACGTAAAAAAATAAGCTTCATCTCAAATTTCTGGAACTTCTAGTAGTGCTTTACAAGAGCTAGCAGTTAGAACAAGAGGCTACAGTGGCAAAACAAAGAAGAAGACTGGGAATAAAGAGAAAAAATGGAAACCAAAAATAAAGTGGAACACAAAAGGGGAAATATTAGCTCAGAAAGGCAAAGTACCTCTGCGTTCTTGAGAAAAATAGAAGAAAGGAGGGAGCGACACACATCAGCCAAAGAGGCTGAATCCTAGCAAGCGGAAAAGGAAATCATAGCCATTAAAATCAGGATATCGCCCGTTCCAGGACTCGTAAGTAACCACAGCATCCGCCAATCACACCAACCTCTCTCAGGGTGAAACTCCGTCCACCGGTGAGACCAGCGTATTTTCTTTCCAGCACAGCCAGGCTTTCTTTCTCCTGGCAGACAGATACAGACACAAAAATGAACTTTTCCCATCATTAATACAGAGCACAGCACGCACATGCGAACATAAAATCTGCCATACTCTCTGCAGCATGGACTCGAGGTTGCTCCTCTCCTTCAAGAAGCTCTCCTTCTCTCGTTGAACCTGCTGCGTAATCTGCGCCGACTGCTTCTTCAGAGTTAACAGACGCTCCTGCGAGAGGGAGAGCGGAACAAACTTATCAAGCGCCTCTAGCCTGCTTAGAAAGTATGAATCAAACATTCCTGTTAACCCTGCAAATCTAAACAAATTGACATTTAAAGAGCAAATTCAGCTTCAAACAGCAGATTAAACAGGCTGGATTTTTAAATCAAAAACAACCGAGAAGAGAGCTGATACCTTGCGGGTGACGGTGCTGCGTTGGTAGTCTGCGATCTCCCGGAGAAGCTGCTGGGTGTGGGTCTCCTTCTCCTCGTCCTGCCTGCTCTCTCTCTCGAGCTGCTGAAACTCCAGGTCCTCAAAACGCTTTGTCTCTGCCTCAAGCACTTCGCAGTCCTGATACACACAATGAAATAGATAATACAAGTGTACACTACTGCTCACAAATTTTTAGTTGTCACTGGGAGTAACTGTATGATTTCTGAAGTCAAAGCAGCACAGTACCCTGTGCAGTACAGCTTAAACCTGCTTGATACAGACCGCTGTGGCGAGCTTTAATTATCTGAAGATCTAGGGCTGGTACCTTAGGATCACATGACCAAGCAGTCAGTCTTCCTTTGCTACTGATGTTTTTATTCTTTTTTATTTATTTTTTGAGTACAGCAATGTACTGTAGCACATCCTGCAGTCTGGCATTGCCCTAATAATGGCCTGAAAGTAACACAGGCATAATAGGTGGTAATCTGCATAAATGTAGTAATATGGGTTGTCTTTCATGGCTAAACTTACTTCCAAAGCTGATGCTGCGCTCTCCTAAACTTAAAACAAACCCTTTCACTAAACTTGAACTCCGTAATTTGCAATAAAAAACAAGAAAAATTCCACTAATCCAAAACTTTGCATGCTTTTGTAGCCACCACATTAGAGAAAGAACATCAAGTATACGTGCAAGTGTCCATAAAAGAAACCTTCTCACATAAAAACCTGCATCTACTAATATTAGCAAAGAAATGCCAACATACTCAAATACGACAAATAATCGTTTATCAAATACGTCTCATTCCATAACATACGTAGACACGAGTGCAAACCAGACTGTGAAATCTCTAATGTGTGTGTCATCAACACTAAACATGCAACAACACATCACTACCGTTTGGCTAAACATGCAGCCTTTCACACACCATAAGCATTCGCCCCAAAGTGAAGATGATTTAAATGTGCCGCCTCTTTGATAAGTCGTTTCAAAGAACAGTCGCTCATCAAACACAAAAGGTGAAGCCTTTAGACATTACAACCAACAGAGTGAGTCTGTAAGAACCAAACAGGTACCAAAGCCTGACACTTTAGAGATGATATAAAACATAAAGAGGGAATGATTGAGAATGAACGTTAGCTCTGAAAGTGTGCCATGCTCACATGCAAGTAAGCAAACATTATATAAACGAGTCTGTCATGTGAACAAATGTTTAGAGTCAGTGCTAGTATTTGCCGATACAGCGGTCACATTTATGTTGAATACTTTCTCGAATATGCATGATTTCCATTGGCTCTTCCACTATATTTTTCTAAATATATGTATGTGCGTGTGTTTGTGTGCATATGTGTGTGTGTTTGTGTGTACTGACCCTGGCTAGCTGCTCCTGCAGGGGCTCCTTGGTGGCTTCAGGACAGCTGTCCAGCTGGGAGCGCTGCTCACACACAATCTGAGCCAACCTCTCTACTCTGCCCTTTTCTGCCTGCAGCAGCTTGCACGCCTGGCAGGCAAACGTACGTACACACAGATGCACACACGCATTCCCACACGAGGACGTACACCATGTACACGTTTGTTTATGTGTACATATAGACACAAAAAGACGAACACACACACATACACACACACACACACAAAGGACAGAGAGGATGGCAGAGTTAGTGGGGATTGGGGAGCAACAGTTAGTTACTACAGCGACCAGGTCAGTACGGATAGCCTAGTGGGTGGGGAGGGAGGGAAAGCTGGAGGGAGCGCAATGGAAAACTGATTAATGATGTTATGAGACTTCACTTCTGTCGTTTTATTTGTTTTTTTATGAATGCAAATGATTGAAATGATTAAGTAAGAAAAGAGAACGGGCATGTATGGAATGGCGCAGCAGACGTTAACTATCACACTGATGGCTCTTTCTATAAAATACACAAAACACACATTCACCTAGAATCTGTGCAAGCACTCAACTTCATCTGCTCTTCAACCAGTTTTTAACACCCGGGGCTACACGCATCTACCCGATCGCTCGCTTTTCTTTCCCTAACGTCTTCCGCTGGCAGATGCCGGTGCATGGAAATTTCAGAGTGAGTCCAGGACTCAGTCGAACACAGGCCAAACCAAAGCACGCGCACACACACGGATACACACCAGAAATACCGTCCATTTATCCGCTTACACCTCCCACTCTGTCAATAATATCATATGGTGTTATAAATGTAGAAAAAATATAGGCACACTTGCTTCCCTACACTTGCCAAACAGGATCACTTGATGACCACTACTCCCCGGACAGTCTTAGCAGATATATATTTGGACCAGAGAGAGCATGAGAAGGATTAACACCTACCGCCCGGGTCTCTCAGTTGCCTATGTATTTTTAATGCCATTCAATGCATGTTGCTAGTAAAAATATAGGCTGTATGAGTGAATGGAGATGGCTTTTCAAACACCTAAAAGAATTTTTCCATATGTTAATGTGTATTTCTCTCCCCTTTTGATGACCATATGTATTCAAAGGCAAAGTTAAGCATATTCAAAGGGACCTCTAACTTTTAACCCAGCTGGATTACAGATGATAAAGAGGTCTGTAAGCATCCCATTCTGAGTGTATCAACTTGAATACCTTTTCTTTTTCCTGCTGGGATTGGGTCTCTAGGTGAGCCATCTTGGTGTGAAGCGCTTCTAAAGCATCTTTTTCGTGTTGAAGAGCTGCTATCTCGGACTCCTGCTCAGCTTCAACTAGAGCTCGCTCAACCTCGACCTTTAAAAAAAAAAAAAAAACACGCGCACACACCGCTCAGTTTTAAACCAATACTTTATATCTATGCTTTTATCTAAACATTCTCATTCATCTTCTGTTAATCTTGACAATAAATCAATCAATAAATAAAGTAAATATCATCATCGTCTACATACCTCTCGGGCAGATTCCTCAATTTGATTGTCCAGCTCTTTGATCTTTTGTTCAAGCTCCTCCATGTTGTTTAGGACCTGGATTCTCTCCTCTTCCACGCGCCTCACTTCCTCCTCTGAAGGGATCGTGTCCTGTCCACGATGGCGAGCTGCATCCTCTAGAGCCTGGTAACATCATCATCAATGTGGTCGCTGATTTAACTCCTGCTAACATGCACTTACATTGACATATCTGCGAGACCTGTAATAATAATCACTGATGCCACAAATGGAAAGGAAAGCGTATGGGCTCCATACATACACACAAATGCCTGCTGTCAGTTCATGCTAACACTTAGCCTGCTCTAATCTAATAAATAGACTGTAAATATCTCCCATCTGTGTTGAGTAGGATGTTTGTGTCAATACTTTCTAAGTATTAGGAGGAGGGATCCTTGTCACTGTTATGTTTTCCAGGATGAATGGGGGGCTAAACACTTCCTGCATAAATCTTGATCTATTATTTTACCAAATCAACAGAGACTAATTTTACAGAATATTCTCTTGCATGAAGTCTTCAGAGTGACTAAAGTCTGTAGACCATCAAGGCATTGCATATTTCACTGTATTTATTTTATACTACCGGAATATTTTTTTAAATTTATGTTTTCAAAAGTTATATGATTCTACTGAACAAACACGGTTCTGTAGACTAGTTCATCTTATACACCAAATAACATTTGTTTTTGCTCTTGATAACACCTCAGTGGTACTGCACTCACACACGGAGGGCATTTCTGTGTTAGCATAAAGTTCTAACAGTCACAAAATAAGTGTCCTGTGTCTTATACCTCATTTGTCCTATGTGCACGTGGTGAAGGTGTGGGGGCAAAGCTTCGCAGACTGATAGCAGGCGATTCGGCCCTGTTGTCTCGGTGACCGCTGCTACGCCTCCGTCGTACCTGCAGGTCATCATCATAGTAACCGTTCTCCGATCCAGGGGAGGTCGTGTGCCCGTTTCCGACTATTCCACTAACAGCTGAAGAGTCGGAAAACACAGAAGGCGTGTCATCATCTTCGTCGGTCAGCTGCAGCTTCTCAAGCTCCTGGTTGATCTTCTGCAGGTCTGCAACAGCTGAAGTGGAGCTTGTTGCTGCGGCGCCTCCGTCCCTTTCAGCTCGGCCCAGCTCAGAGCAAAGAGACAAGATGGTCTCTAGCCGCTGTCGCTCCTGAGATGATGGCAAACATAAAGGCACACACGTGTATGGGTTATGTGCATGCAGTGGCAAATACTGTTTAAGATTTTTAATGTTGACATGTTGCTGAAGTTTTACACAAATACAATGCAACCCTATAGTATTGAGCTTAGTCAAGTTTTAAATAATAGTATTACCTCGGGAAGCATCACAGAAGTCAGTCCTTCTAAAACTTTTCCGTTTAGTCCAAAATAAAGAAAAGTAGCGTTTACTTAGTATTCAGCATGACCCTCTCCTGTATGTGGATCTAATTTGGTCTAATATTTGCAGATTTTAGAAGAAACATTTCTTCTCACTGAGAATCCCTGGAGTGAGCACTTCTCCCTGCCAGTGCATAGCTATATGTGGGGCACTACAGAGGCTGCAGAGAGTCAAAATGCTCTCATGCAGGTTCAGCAGTTACTTCTCTCAAGGGTTACGTATATGAGCCCCACAGCCAGCCTGTGTTAGTAATATTAGATACAGAGAGGGGGGGAAATGGACAGAGGCGTGTGTGTGTGAGTGATAGAGAGAAAGAGTGAGCTAATGAGAAGGTGGTCAGCTGTCAACCATGGTCATAAGTGTGCACAAGAACCGGCTTTGACTCCAAAGTAGGAATGTGTCTATGAATGTCACCGTGGAAACAAGATGCTTTCCAGGGGATTCTTCACAAGGAGAGAATCGGATCCAGGTGACATTTGGATTGTGAAAATCATGAAATAGTTAACTGTGTGTTTAGGAAAAGCACGAAACGCTCACTTTATAGTGCTTCTTAGTTAAACAGTTATGTCAGAATCCACATATAACAAAGCATCGAACACATTTTACCATGCACACATACAAACCCCAATTATAACACGTAACATGAACCAGGAGCTGGCACAAAACGTGTCCGTGTCAGTTTGTCACCTTGCGCTATTCTAATGGGCATAAGCTTCTGTGGAGCCTCTATAGTAATCAGCTGTCAACTAGAGCAAGAGACAGAAAGAAGAAGAGAGGACAAAGACACGGACATATGAGAGGAAAGCTGGAGAAAGCATGAAAATGAAAGACGGTGAAAGAAGCGAAAGACAGGAAACGAGCTGGGAAATTTTTGGACAACACGCCTTGCTTTAAATTCATTTTTAAAAGGTTTGTGTGCCTTTAATTAACACAGACATTAATTTCAGCTTTCTTTTTTAGCGGTCTCTTGTTTCAGAATTCTATTTTCTAAAGATACCACTAGGGGGCAGACAAATACAAGACAATAAGGCTAGACTGAAACACTACAATTGCTGCTACATCTCACCTTTAGTCATCTGATTAAAGTAGAGATGCACGTGATTATAACTCCCTGTATAATGTGGATCATCGATGATATTTAACACCAGGGCACGCACTAAAACAGGCAGTCGAAATAGTTTCAACCCAATTAAGTGCAACACTGCAACACAATTCATTCCCCCATCTTCAAACCGGCAAAAGAGAAAATCTTCACATCATGAAAGCTCAAAACCACGCTCATAAGAATTTGGAGGCTTGTCAAAAGCCACCGTCAAAGTGTTCTTTAAATCAGAGATACTGAGACACTTTAATTGTGAGAACATGGCTGAGAGAAACAGAGAAATACAAAGAGAGGGATCACGAGATCGGTTGTCATTATATGTTGATAATATGTGTTTATCCACCTGCTACACTATAACTCTGTAATCTTCTTGGTTTCTCTTACCCACATCTGACTGATGTGTTCTGTGGCTCCTTAGCACAGCAAACCACACTGGGTGGACCTCCAGATGACTGACATAAACATGAACCTCATATGAACACATATACACACACACACAATCCAAGTACAGGGTTAAGAATAGTGCTGTTAGTATGGGCTAACTGCCATGAGCACCTGTCAAGTGGTGAACCTCACTGTGCGCCTGTGTTAAGCTCCCTGGGAGAGTATGTTTGAGAGCGCAAGGAGCAGGGAAGCATTCCTACACTCGTTCCATGTTTGGTGTCTTTGTATGCGTGCACAAAATAACATTAAACCTTAAACACCCTGCTCTCCTGCCTATATTCAGTCTATCTGAATAAGCTTAGCTGGAGGATGCACTCTATGATGATAAGTTAAAAAAAAAAAGCAAATACTAAATGGCACAGTAAAAACAGCAGCTACAATGCTTTAAATACAGAAGCTAAAAGCAATTAAACTCACCAGTCTCTCCACCTCCTGCTCACGGAGTCTCTCCTCTTTTTGGCGTTGGTGGTAGTCTGTCAGTTCTTCCTTCCCACTTAGGGAGCTGATACTCCCCCTTCTTTCCCTGAACCCCCCTGGCGGGGTCACCCCTGCTTTGCCAAATGACTGCCTCCTCTCCCCCAGACCAATTCCAGTTTCCAGGCCGGCCTTCCCAAATGAAGAACTCCTCTCTCTAAGTCCTAGTCCCGGTGCAACGGTGAGTTCAAGGCCCACTCCTGGTGTTTCTTTCTCCGCCACAGACATTTCTGCTCCTGAGGAGGCGTCATTGCTGCTTAGCCGTTCTTGTTCTGGAGGGCTCGAAGCTATAGAGCTGATGGAGCCTATTGAGCTGGTGGAGGTTAGGCTGAGTTTTTTGGCAACACGAGGAGAAGAGGAGCCCCCTGCCCTGGATGGGATTGTTACATCTGGTGGAGTGGATGTGGATGTGGAAGAGATGGAGTGGGAGGTGGAGCAGGAGGAGGTCCTAGGGGAAGAGAGGGAGATCGACACGACACCTTCCCCTTGAGCTGTGGTCTGGCCTTTAATCCTGTTTGCAGCTTGCTGACTGGAGTGACTAGACTTGTGGTTGAGGTCAGCGTTTTGGCCGTTGCTGTAATGCTCTTTGCTAAATTTGTAATCCCCAGCAGTATCAGACCGCCGTGGAGGCAGCGTTGACAAAGTTAGCACTCCATTATTATTGTCACGGGGGGACGGGGAGGGACAGAGGCGTGGCAGTGAGCGGCTGTGTCCTCCTGCTGTCATCCCACTCAGCGAACCTGCTGAGTATTTCCTGGTTCGACTAGTGGGCGTCGGCTCCTGGTTCCCCTGGTTCCCATAGGTGCGGCGTCCTAGACGGGGGCTAGAGGGCATGCTGGCAGGGCCCCCAGAAGATGGAGTGCGGGATGAGGAAGAAGATGGAGGAAGAGAGAGGAGATAGTTCTCACTACTGGCAACAGAAGTGGAAGATCCCCCACCATTCCAGGTGGAGAGTAAAGGAGAGGAGCTCTGACTGTGCAGTCGTCGGCTATCGCTGGTGCTAAAATTGTCCTGACTGCGGCCAACTGAAGAGCGCGAGGCCAAAGAAGAAGAAGGGTCGGAACGTCGCCCGGGGGAAAGAGGGGGAGCAGATTTTAAGGACAAAGAAGGACGATCGGAGCTATAGAAACGCCTTGCCTGTTCCTGATAGGCTGATGAAGATGTGGCAGGACTGGAGACAGGTGTGGTGGGGGGAGACTGGGAGACAGAAAAGAAAAAAATGTATGATTAGAAATATATAAGAATTCAGTTCTCCTGTGGAAGCTATAGACAGAAACAAATGAAGAAATGGAAATACACAAATATGATCATTTTGAGGCTTTATTAGATTCAAGTGTTTACAGTGTAATATAAATTACAGAAACACTGATATTGATGTATGTGTTGATGAATATGTGCAGAATTGTGTTTGGAGAACACAATGCAGAATGCAACGATGTAACAACTGGTTCGTGTAACGAGTGAATATCAGTTAGAATCGTTCACAACCCCTGTTAAAGTGCCCTGAGAGGTAATGTTGGAGCTAAAGGATGACCAACCTGTGTCACACTGAAGTAGGAGGGGTTGGCATTCCCGTTGGCTCTCAGGCTGTTTTCCAGGGCAATTTTCTTACGCTGCAGGGTGTCCATCAAGTCCCGAAGCTCAGATGCTGATCGCATGCCCCTAGCACTACTGGTGCCACCCACAACTGCATGGCTATAGTCACTGCTAAACTTCAGGTAGTCTGGACGGGGAGAGAGATTAAATGGAAAAGAAAATGAATCTATAACATGGGAAAGCTAGGTTAAACATAAACATAAGCTATCGAACGACTAGATAGAAAAGTAGATACAGAAAGAGGAAAGAGAAACAGGGAGAACAAATATGGAAATTATGTGTGAAGAGCCAGGTGAAGACAGAGGAAGGAAAGAGGGAGTGGCGAATGAAAATAAAGAGCGAGAGCGAGAGAGAGGGAGAGATTTATGTATAGTTAAACCTGCAGCTATTCATAAATGGGACCCTTGGCAGAACAAACTCAAACCAAACAATCCACAACTAACCCTATCCCTGAGAATAGGAAACAATCCTGTCCCACACACACACAAACTGCATGCAAATACACATTCACACAAAACCATCCATTAGATCCAAGACAAACAGTTTAACTCGAGTTCAGTTCCTCAGTATAGGATTTTGTAGATGAGATAAACCACAAAATATTCTGGAATACCCTCATGAGGCTCCCCCCGCCCTTCCTTAAGTCTTTTATTTAAAGTAGCTTCAGCAGTGAGGAGGTCTTTTTTTCTCAAAACCTCAGCTGAGTCAATTTTTACTTCCTTCCTGCTGAATTTACAAATAAACTTATTTTCTTTCAATAGCATAGCTAAGATTGGCAGCAATGCTAAGTATAAGTATGTCTGCCTGATAGCTCCGGTACTATTTTGGTGCAAAATTCCAAAAAGAAAACAGTAAATATCTTCTGAAAAAAGCCAAGCAGGTGAAAACACTTAGGGTAAAGCAATGTGCTCAAACCTTGCCCAGTTTTCAAAATTATCTGTGGCTTTATGTGGAAAAGGAGCTATTACAATGTTCAAACTTAGACCACCCAGTGTTTAACAACCACATACACCCACACACACATATATACACTTTCCTGCAACTGTGGCTCCGCCTGTATGTTCCATGTGTAAAAGAAAGCGAGAACCTGGAGCACCTAAAAGTGCATAGACAGATTATAGATGAATATAAGCCTGTGTGAGAAAATGTCAAACCCTTACATGGTGGAGTGAACTGAGGCAGAAGGTGAAAGACATCATAAGATCTAGAAAAATGCAGGCATGCTCACACACACACACACAGGGTGTTTGTGTCCATACATGGGCAGATTTACACCGGAGGGCTGGTGTGCATCAACTCTCTCCTTTCATGATTGTTCTGCTCCAACATATTCAGTTGTGTTTGTGTGGGAGCCTTGTCTTTAGTTGGATGTCTTTAAAATAAGGGTTGGTGACGGTGAAGAATATCTCTGCCCATAATAATAATCTTTCCTAACACACGTGCGTGAAGCTGTGGAAGAAATAAGCACCTTCTGCCTGTTTAAAGAGCGGGATTTCCACTGAATACAGCAGCCTCGAGCACTCGATAAATCGCCTAAGAGACAGCAGAGTCCAGATGTATCGCCGTGGCAATGGACAGACACCATACAACCAAAACATTCCAATATGCTTTGAATTTTAGGTTTTGGAATGTGCGTGAAAGTGCATTTGGGAAAGACATATGAGAAGACTGAGAGAAACACCTGCCCCCACCCTAACACTGACTCTTTCCTCCCACCACTTTCAGGCAGCAGCCATGGTTAATGTGCACAGAAAAGTTGAGCTCACATGCATTCTCCGCTTCCCCCCCCCCTGCCAGTCAGTTAGATGACATCCAATCTTTGAAATCTGAATTTATTTACATTCTTTATGGTTCAACCAGGTCGTTAAATTGGGTCAGTGTGGTCCTCCATTTGGATGTAACCCATCTGGAGTGTGACTATCTGTAACTCCATACTGACATAACAGTGAAGTGACTAGTGAGAAGAGCAGCAGATGTTACATCAGCAGCTGGATCTAATGGAGCACTGAAGATGGCAAAGAAGTGAAAAGCCAGTAAAGTAATAATCAAAAAGGCCTACATGTATATTCTGGAATGGCAAAATTAAGACACAGAGGAGACAAACCAAAGAGGGATCAAGCACAGCTCAGGGTCAGCCCCTTGTGTGATGTACCTGTGTTGTAGGCTAAAGCTGATACAGGACTCTTTTGGGGAAGCATGCTCTTCATTCTGCTGGCTTCCTCAGGATGGTTGAACCGGAACAAATAGGATTTTCCCAGACACAAAGAATAACCTGAAAGGGAAAACACAAACAGACGTCTCAAATTACTGAGACAAATGATGCAAAATCTGCAGGTAACCAGGTAACATGTGAAGCTAGTGTGATACAGAATACACCATTACAACATCCACATTACAGCGCATATGTGAAGAGGTAAGTCTTAAGTAGATTCATGTGAGCCTGGGTGTTTATTCACAGCTAGACACACTTGCGCACGCGCAGCAGACGACTGTGTTTGCCCTGGCCATCAATTAGCCTGAGAGGGCCGGGTATTAAACAAGATCTCAGGGTCACAACCTCTGTAATACACACAGGCAGCCACAGCTGTCCAAATACTTGAGATGGCAACAGAGAGGAAGAGCGGCGCTGACACAGATACAGGAGGTCTTGTGTGGGAAAAACAGAGAAAAAGGATAAAAGAATAAAAACACTGAACTGATGCACTTTTTGAGCCAAGGAGGAAAGAAATGCTGAGGGCCAGCTTTCTTAAATCAACAGGTCAATGCGGGTCTTTCTTCTACTTCCATTGTCGAAAAGCCCTGTTACAGTAAAACCCCCATAACGTTATGTGTAAGAGGCTAAAAAAGCACCTCCTTAATAGCTCCATTTCAGTTACATCAGATTCTTTGGACCTGAAGTCAGACGTAACCACTGAGGCAAGAGGAGGGGGGTGTGGAAAAAGGCTGAATGGAAAAAATCCAGATTGTTTTCATCCTCTCTTTTTCTCTCGTTCTCATTTCATTTTTTGTTGCCTTTTCTTTCTCACACTTATGTCAAGTCTCATAAACATCTCAGGCAGAAAAGCTGCGTTAATAGCCGAATTGAGCATTACAGTTGAAATGAAAGAGGTCGAGCCAGTCTAGATATTACCTTAGAGCATTTCACAAGCAGTCCCCCCCCCCCCCTCAATACACCCAGTTCTCAGCATAGTGGGGAGATCCGATTGCGGCTGTGATGTGAAGTGGGCAACACAGGCACACACACACCCGAAAACAGTGTAATAAATGTTTAGTCTGCACAGCTGGACTGTGAAGCTCTCAAATCCATACTTATATAAACATGAGCTTGCAGGTTTGGCCACAACCTGTGAGGAAGTGGGATCATGACCGATAAAAGATGTAGGGCCTCCGTGAAGAGACTGAGAGCAACACACACACACACTGTGTCAGCGAGTATGAGTAAGAGCTAATAATAAGCGCTTCTCCTTGCCAGACGTGAGTAAAGGTGTAAATCTTCAAAACGTCTATCTATCTGTGTGTGTTGGAACATGCCTTGTAACAGGGTCTGCCTAATGAATCCCAGTACCTCTCAGTATTTAGCGTAACGGCAAACACAGACATGGGCTCACAAACAAACACACACAGCAGTCAGCGCTTGTAAAAATCTAATTTCCTACCCTCAATAGCCACTTTTAAAGTGTATGGTAACGTGTGACGTCTTGATTTGTTAACAAGCCCCGACCCTCCTGTCTTTCTAATTTCCTCTCATGTCCTTAGCTAGCAAGTAACTCTTAATTATTCTCTCCTCATTTCGACCCCCAGCATAAACAAATAGTTATGAAGATACGAGTCTACGCAACAAGGGCAAACAAACTCCATGTGAAAAAAAATTTCACATCTAAATTTATCTGTGATACAAGTCTTCTGTCTTTAATAACTTCGGTGGGGGGTGCACTATCGACAGAGACACCATCCACAACAAAAACTGCTCTAATCTCATTCACGTGTTCACTTGCTTACCAGCAAATTAAGTTTGCCCCCCCCCCCCCCCCCCCCCCCCCCAATGCATGCACTCTTCCCCGCACACACACATATGAGCAGACCCTTTCCAACAACAACAAAAGCTGAAATTAGCCTGTATATACATTTATGGGATAATTTAAAGTTTGCAATCTACAAAGTCAGACCTCAGAGTCTTTGAGGACGCAGATGGAGCCTGAGCTGTACGCCTGGAGCCAATTTCTGTCCCCATGTAGATCTGCGCTCTCTCGCCACAATGTTATGGGAGGAGAAACTTAAATCTGCTTCTCTGTTTGGTTAACATCAGAGGCGGAATTGCCAATTTGAGACCATTAGGCTACAAGGAAAAATAAACCAATTTCAAAGGTGCAAACACATGCCCGGATGAAACCCAGCTACCTGCTACTTGATCAGGTGTGACATCCATGGCAATCATACCCAACAATGGTGATGCAAGGTCAACTAAAACTATCCCCAAATTTGAAAGATATTAGACAAATGCTATCTTGGTTATGATCCCTAGAATATGCACGGTGTTGACATTAAATCTCAGGCTGAATGTATTCACTCATGAAATGAATACACACACAAACAGGTCCCAGTGGGAGAGGAAATTGTCCTCAAAACCACAAATTAACCCTCTCCCAGGCACAAGGGCATAGTGGTAACACCATGAAAAGACAGACTGGTGTTTCCCAGGAGAGTCAGAGCAGATTAGTCATTCCGTCTCTCACATGCTCACACTCACAGGCCTAATTTGTCTCCTCACAAACTCAGGATTGCCTTCTGTCTGCTCTATCTCAAATCTTATTAACAAATAATCAACTTCCCTCAAGCAAAGAATGCAGACCTGTGAATAACCTCTTAACAGCCCTCTAATTAACTGTATTTCTCACCAAGTATTTAAAGAAAAGAATAAAGCGAACAAAAAAAGATACATTTCATCCATTTTACGGTGTAAAACTGGAAAAAGCAAAATCCAAATGTTCTGGGGGTGGGCAGGCAGAAAGATTTGTGAGGATAATAACATCCGTGACAAAGAGGGAGGTTTTATTTTCAGGTGTCAGGTATCCTGACCACTGAGTCTGCCTTTCTATCCATGAGCTACATTACATCTGCACTGGCACATGCACGTGAACTCACCAGCTAACTTATAACCACGAGACAGGCACACAAAGTTCATTTATATTAAAAAGATGCAGACAAGAAGCTGTGATGGAACACTGCCAGAATCTGGCTAAAAATAAGAAAACGAACCACCAAGTGAGCAACACGGGTGAATCACACCTCTAACCTGCTGTAATAATGATGCACGTGATTTACTGACCCGTGCAATAATTACAGTGTTTCGCCATTTCCAGCAAGCAACAAGCAAAGATCAGCACATCAGGTAACAGTTCAGTAACAGTATTGACCTTTAGACTAAAAAAATCAAATTGAATTGAATCATTTTAACTAATCAGAAGGACTTTTTACCTTTATATCAAGCTGCTGAGCAAATGCTGTTTACCCTGGCTGGCACAAGTGCTCACTAGTGTGCTTTCTGTAAATAAGCCAGTACACAAATCGGTTGATAACTTTAACGCCGGGATCACTGGTCATTCAGAGCATGCTGCATATGCTTCAGAGTAAAGAGGTATTTCCCTTAGCACATACATAAACAACTGGATGCCCAAGCAGTATGATGATATTATAAGTGAAAGTGGAATATAAGCTATGAATTGCGTTTCTCATCCTCACATTAAATAGGCTAGCTATACAGAGAAACAGCCTACGTCATAGTTTAAAGCTCGACGTGTGTTTTTCATTCTAAAATATTTCCCAACTCTTACAACAGTTTCTGAAACATTGTGTAACACAAAGTGCTTCAGATGGATAAAGTTCAGTAAAGCAGAGGTTTGCTAACACAAAGGCTGAGTAAATTACAACGTTACTTTACTTCTAAAGCAAATAAAATCCGTTACAAACCTTTTCGAGCTATTTGTTTTCCTTCAGCGTCTTATCATGACAAGAACTACAAAAACTTCTCCCTCACGGGCAAAACAGATACAGACAGATTATATATCAGCACCACTGTCCGCCTCTGTGCTGCCTCCCTCCTCCGTGATGTTCCGCCTCCTCTTGACTCAGTGTGGAAGAAAGTTGGTTCACTGATTTACCATCCACGAGAACCCGGGACTGTACCAAATGTCGGTAAAAAAAGGGGGAGGAGGATAAGGACAGGTCAATAAATAACCACAGGGAATAAGTTATAACACGATAAATCTAACGAGTGATGGTTTCTTACACCGAAGTGACACTGTAAAGAGCAAACTGATGAGTGCACGTGACTAAAGACCAGCTTAATGTAACAGCATTACCCGCCACGACCCCTGTGTGTAGTCGGTTAGTTCAAAGACAATTCGGCAATGGGGTCTTTAGTAGACACCACCCTCCACCCCCACCTCTAAAGCTTTCTTTGTCTACCTACCTCTTCAACAGCTCTTTGCTATGAAAATCACTCCGCTGGTTTATCCTTAAAGCAGGTATAGTGTGTAGAGTCGGACTTACTGAGTCTAAAATGAAGAAGTGACTGCTTAGACTTCATGATAAAACAGCATAGAAACGGTATGCAGTATGCAAGTGGAAGGTATTGACTGAGAAAGATAACGTCAAAAAGTAAATAAGAAAAAAATAAAATAAGAGGGAGGACTGTGCTTTCCTGTCTGGGTTAAAGGTTGTTAGTCTGTTTTGCTTAGATGCTTCATTTGCAAGCATTTCTACCATGACACGAACCCGTGGAAAGCTACTTTGCCCTTTATCCTGCGATCATCCTGTGCACACAGTAAAATAAGATAAAACAAGAGAGCAGATATTAGAGCATCCTGTGTTTTGTGCAGCAGCATAGATTTGCATCTGCTCCCTTCCAGTGTAAATGTTGAGAGACTTAGTTTTATGACTACAAATCCACTGAAATGTGAACTGAAAAACTAACAACGTGGAAATCTTGGACAAATGGAAAATAAAAAAAACACGGAGCAGATCTAAAGCAGTAATGTTCCAGTTAACAGATCTTATTAATAAACTAACAATGTACTTGTGGAGTTTGTTTGTCAGCGGCTTTCTTGCTCAACAATGATTTCCTTTGTCGTTTCCACCTCTGTTGAATAAACATATTGCTACTCTACAAGTGTCCTCCAGCTGATGTGATTCCAGATCAAGCTCTGAATTCCAAAATACAGAACAGATCATTTCCTAAACACAGCTAATCATCTCCAGACTAGTGTGCATGAGTGTCTGTGTATGTGGTTCGACCAACTCAACCCAGAGCAACTGAGGCCAGTGGATAAAAGATGCTCTCAATCTTTTTCCTTTTTTACTATCGTTTTCCTACGCATACTCTTCTGACTTTTTAACCCTGTCTTGTTTTTTTAGTCTCTTTTCCCCACCCCTGCTATTTTGCTGTGCCTCAGCCTTGTGTGTGGACCCACCAAGATGATGTCAATATTTGAGTCAGCCAGGCACAGCGGGAAGTTAAATAGGCCTGTCAATGTTTAACTTAAACCGTCCAGGCCTTTTCCAGGGCACAAGAAAAAGGAGAAAACTGTAAACAGAAAGGACAGACAAGTGAGTGTGCTGCTTGTCATTTTAAGTAGGACAGGGAAAGGTGAAAGAAGGACAAAGCTGTGGAGAAAATGGGAGAGCATGTGACTGAATAAATGACGGAGCAATTCAGAGAAGTGAAAAGAATAGAGGGAAGAAAGGCCAGAGATAGACAGATTAAGATACTCGCCGACAAAATATAGACACGTCTACGTAGGCGGGCATGAAGAACAAGATAAGAAGAGAGATCCATTTAACTTTGGGTGACCAGACTTTCTTTTTTTCTTTTTCTTTTTTTTGAGAACATTCTGCAGTCTCCAATAACAATCCAAAGGGTTTGCATGCTCTGCAGTTGCTGGAAGCTGTGACTCATTGTAGGAGCTAGCTGTTCCAAACCACTACGAATTACCCAAAGATACACACACAGACACACACACACAAACATACCGAAATGCATCAATACATTCACATGACTACATGTGTGTAGATGTACATGGACACAAACATATTGCACAACCTGTTGTTTGCATGAAGAAACTTAACTGTGCCCATATGAGTCACAGAGATAGACTGGAATGTGAGTTAACCAATCCAAAAAAGACACCCCCCCCCCCCCAGAAAACTAACCACTGTCTCTCTGTTGCACACCAGTTATGAAATACTAAGTATCTACAGTCAGCAATGAAGTCAACTTTCAATTAACTCCAGTACTAATAAGGACCAGTAGATGGCAATATCTCAAAGTGTGTGTATGTGAAAAGGCCTGTATCCTGATGTATGCTGATACCAATGTGCAGTATACAGGCTTTTCCTGAGAGCACTGAGCACCTACACTGTGCGCATGTGTGCGTGTAGTTTACCCTGAGTGAGTGGTGTTGGTACAGTGACCTGGACTCCATCAAGACTGCAGAGGTGGCCACAGGGGTCCAGGGTCACCACCCCTCCTGTTGATAATGAGGAGATAGTCAGGGGAAATGAGTAACAGTGAACTACCATTCACTCCAACATTACACTCCGACATGAGATAACTGCCTTAATCATCCCGCTCCTACACGGCATCCTCTGAAAGCATGCAATATCCCCTGTTAATAAAAGGTACTCACTATTCAGATTAACTGTAATTAAAACAAAGCTTCACACAAGAACAAAAACAACAGCATAATTAATAATCCAGTTCCTCCCTTCTCCTCACAGCTATTCTATAAAAAGCCCAACAGGTATCCAGCTCGATGGCTTTCTCAGTCTTATATTCATTTTGAAACAGTATATTTCTTTTCTTACATTATTAGAATTTTAGGCTTTAGAGGATTGAGAAAGTTTATTATTCTTCCGCTGCTGTTTTGTCAGAATAATCTTCTAAAAACAAAATAACAATGATTGAACTTGGGATGGTATTGAGCAGATCTTCTAAATGCCAAATATAATCACAGATTTGATTTCAGTGGATTTTACTTGAAGTAATATTTTAGGATTCAAAAACAAAGATTAAAAGCTTGCTAATGAAAGGAGGAGTCATTTCCCCTTTCCCACGACATGCTGTAAAGATGTAAGCACTCTTGCCAGTGTGGAAAAGACAATAGAGCTGTGTTTATTCTGGGGCCTGCCAAAATTATGACGTCATTTCAGAGAAAGTGAACCAACACAGACCTTCATTGATGATTAGACAATGCTCTGCCTCGATGCCAGGTCCTTGAATGGTAATATCCTGAGGAATTGGAGCATCTTCTGTGCCTATGCGTGTTACCCCTGAAACATAAAGAAACACATTTTTTTGCAATCAGCAGAATATATAAATATAGGGGATAGAATTAGACTTATCATGTCTATATAGGTGGTGTGAGTCATAATTAAAGGGTCTTATATCTAATGCTGTTATCATGCAGACACATTGTGGAGTACAAACTCAGTTTTCCTAAAAGGTCTTATTCACATTCTTAGCATTCTTCAAAGTGTGTGTCAAAGCAGTGGGCAGCGATGATGAAGTGGAAATGTCACAAAGCTGACTCTGACGTCAAGGTCTGCCCTTGTACTGTTTGTAAGTTTATTTCTGCATTAACCCCGACTAAGGGTTAAGTGTCAAATCCATTCATATAAAATGCAGTGTGCACTGTTCTCATTGCAAAGAGAGGACAAGACAAGTAAAAAGACTTCTCTGGCTCACTGGGGTATAATCAGAGCCTTGTGATCTATGCAAGAAGTTTATGAATGAGAGTTATCACTGTAATGCTTGTAAGGGCAGATATTTGGTGTCTTTTAAAGCTTGCAATATAATGCCTGTCAGTTTGTATTAGTATTCAGTGTCCTGTCTTCGGGCTAATAAATAATAATCACTAGTACAAGTGTGCCTCTCACTTCACTTTGATTTATAATACTACCTGAATGAGTAATGAAGCTGTGAAACCTGTGGCTTGCTGAATTGATGTGTGTGTGTGCGTGTGCGTGCGTGTGTGTGTGTGTGTGTGTGTGTGTGTGTGTGTGTGTGTGATTCAGCGTGTGTTTTAGAGGGTGAGAAATTCTAGAAACCTGTGGATAGCTGATAGTAGAGGAAGTATGAATAACTATAATACTCCACCCTTACAGTACAGGAACTAATATAGTGTGTTTTATTAATTGTAGTCAGTTGTTTGTTATGGAAAAAACTGTATACTGGCCTGATATAAATAGCAGTGAACATTCCAAATAAAATCTCTGGATTTAATAAAGCAAGTGCGCTTGCTCTGCTGCATGAAACAGAGTCATGAAACCACGCGATGTGTGTCATTTGTGTTACTGTTGTTTGGGTTGTACTCTGTTGCCAAAGCATTCTCTTCATTTTTTCATGGCTAACTGTGGGTTCAGGCTGTGCCTTAACCAACACATGACAATGAATGAATGTTAATAAGCAACAGTAACCATGGAATTGGATTGAATAACTTGTATAAATATGCACTGGCTCAATGTTTGACACAGTATCACTTTTCCACAGCATCACCCCCCAACTCACTTCTGCAGTAACCACAGAAATGAAGTGACTTGTCCTGGGAAAAGGGCCAATATTTGGGAGAAAAAGAGTGGGAAAAGGTGGGCAAAGGTAGGGCAAAGAGTGCTGACAGGGACTAGAAAGAGAGGGCATATTTCTCCCATAGCGGCTTCTCTTCATTAGCTCTCTGCTAAATTCAGAATCAAATTCAAAATCCTTTCTCTCACAAGCAGGGTCTTGAATAATCACGACCCATCTCATCTTAAAGATCTGAATGTGCCATATTGACCCTCATAACAGAGCATTTTGCTCTCAGACTGCAGGTTTACATGCTGTTCCTAGAAGGGAGGCAGACCCTTCAGCTTTCAAATATAGCGCTTTTCTACTCTCCCAGCGTGCTCAAAGCGCTCTATACAACATGCCACATTCACCCAGTCACACAAGCCCTTTTTCTATACTTTGTGCTGTCTAACTACATTCACACTGCAATGGATGCATCGGAGAGCAACTTGGGGTTAGTATCTTGCCCAAGGATACTTGACATGCAGACCGGAAAAAACAGGGCTACAGCAACCCGAACAGGCCCCTCTTCTATGGGACCAGGTCCCAGTTTGGATTAAGGAGACAGATACCCGGTCTACTTTTAAGATTAGGCTTAAAACTTTTCTTTGTAAAGCTTAGCATATAGGCTGGATCAGGTGATCCCAAACCTCTCCTTAGTGCTGCAATAGGTCTAAGCTGCTAGGGGCTTCCCATAATTGTATTGAGTGTTTCTTCTTCACTCACCTTTTTTTAAACTCTCTTTTACTTCTCTAATGTGTGCCTTTCTCTTATTTTTGTATATATTTCTCTTGGTTTGTATATATTTCTTTTTTTTGCTGTTGATTCCTGCTGTCTACTACTTATATTTTATTTATATATTTTTTCTGGCACAGTTGATGTGGAGCACCCACAATTTTGTTGTACATGTATAATGACAATAAAGGGCTTTCCATTTTGTCTGTGAAGGTTCTCAGTCATCCAGGTCATCGTAGTCAAAGGAGCTTGCAAAGAAAAGCGTCTGGACTTCTTTAAGTTGCTTGAAGACGTTTCACCTCTCATCCGAGAAGCTTCTTCAGTTCTAAGGTCAAATGGTGGAGAGTCCCAGATATAACCTAGTGGGAGTAACCCCCTTTCCATTTTATTCTTCTACGTAATCATTAGTCAATATTAATCTCTGGCTGTCTTCCACAGTGTGTCCTTGTGTGTCCTTTGTCCTGTCTCCATGCCCTCATCCTCAACCGGTCATGACGGACAGACAGCCCTCCCTGAACGTGGTTCTGCTGGAGGTTTCTTCCTGTTAAAAGGGATTTTTTCTTTCCCACTGTCCACCACGTGCTTGCTTATAGGGACATCTGATACAAAACACCTTGAGATATCTGTTGCTTTGATTCAAAGCTATATAAATAAAATTAAGTTGAATTAACATTTGAAGCTGTGAGGATGTGCTACATTAGGAATGAATGTGAAAAATTGTGGCTACTGACTTAATAACCTGCCCATGCTGAGTTTGTGTATTTGCTGTAAATTGTGTCTGGGGTTTTTTTTGTGTGCGTTACCCTCTTTCAGCGGCAGAACAGTAATAGCCACACTCAGTCTCCCACTGCCCAGGCTAACCAGATGAGGAGTTGCTGTCTGGACTTTTAGTCCTTTCCCTGTGTCGATCAGGTCCAGGGGCGGAGACTACAAGCAAGAGTCAGTGCAAAGGTCATTTTAAAAACACACTTTATAGTCATAAGACTAAAATGAATGTGCCATTGTGCGACTGTGTTCATGCTGGATTTGTTCAAAAACCACATAAAACTTGTTAATGTGTGCATATGTGTTTTCCTGCGTCTGTGTGTATTCTGACCTTAGGTTCACTTGGAGAGATCTGATCGGACTCTGGTTGAAACATCAGCTCCGATTCCTGTGTACACATTCAGGCAGACACATAAATGTAAACACAAACAATCCAGACATGTAGCAGTGTACACAATTATGACAAAACTTGGGAATGACCTGCGTGGAATGATCATACATAGAAACACTCAAATAAAGAAACCACACAAAAAAAGAAAAGAAAAAAGTGAAAAGAAGGGGAAAGAACTGCCCACAGCTTACCCAGCTGCCACGTGAAATGAACTCTGATTCTGAAAATGTTCCAAGTAGAAAATGAGAGGAAAATAGTTTGTTTTTTTTTGCAGTGGGGATAAATGAGAGAAATGTTTCATGAAAGCAGACTTCCCACAAACTGTTAAAGTCTGCCATCACTCTGCTGCAATGAATGTGTCTGGATAAAGAGAGATACAGAGTAACTAATAAGGTAACTGAGTTTCTCTGTGCATGCTATGAGCAGTATACTACTTAAAGTAAATACACAGCAAAGCTCGTGCTTGTGCACGGCCATGGCGGTGACAAAGCAAGTGCACATCATTTACCCAGGTTGCATGACTTTAAATCCTGATCATGACTTGGGTGGATATTCATGGTGGCCAGTGAATAATTCTTCTTAATTTTATGTCACCTGAAATTTTTATTGTCACCAAAAAATGTTAACATGCAAATAAGCATGCTGATGAGAAATATTCAGAATGTGCTCCATTAAAATATAATATATATATATGTAATTGAAGCTGCAATGTCTTCCTGCACACAAAACCCACTTCTTACCATTTTCTAAGTCCTGTTCAGCATTTATCAAACAGTATGGCACAGTTCAAATTATGTCATAAGCAAGGCATCTCCTAATCTAACAGGCAGATTGAGCTCAGCTATGCTCCCAGGGTGATAAACTTTGTATTTGGGCATATTTCCTCAAGCATCTATCTCACAGCAAAACTGCAGTGACTGTGAGAGTGGTTTAATTTTGACTGTTCTTATTTTGTATGGACTCAATGTTGAAGTCCAAGCATTCCCTAATGGTGGGAATATGTGTGATGCAATGGAAAAAAAATGAGGTAAAGTACAAAAAAATAAAGGAACGCTATGACAAACTGTGAAGTGGAGATAAAAGAAAACTAAATCAAAAAATTCCCAAAATATGTGAATGTGTATGTTTGAGGAAACACACTCAGATCGTGTGCCAAAAACAGCCCATGGAGTACTCTGTAATTTAACAGAGAAGAAGAAGAAGAAAACAGTCTTGCTACTACTGTATTTGTGTCCACACACACAATCAAAAACACAAACATGCACGCACACACACACACACACCAGTGGATGACTTAAATGCTTCTCACCATGCAGAGATGATTACAGCATATAAGAAACTATCACAACCACATGTCATTTTCCTGCTCCTGTCATTTCCTTTTCTCCCTTCCTCTTTCAAATCCTAATGTGTCATTGCTTTAATGATTTCAGTGATTCCTTCCTTTCTCTCGAGGCCTCTTTTGCATTTAATCTGTTTTCCATACTAGGCGGCCTTCTTGGCTTCTCCTCTTCCTGCCTGTCCTTCTTCTTTCCTCCTGTCTTTTCGCCTTTTCCTCCAATCACCATGAAGGGAAACACAAATCAAAGTCAGCTCTGCACTTCCTCTAATTCAGCGCTAAGTTTCCGCCCTGAGATCACTTCCTTTACTGCTTGGACACCATCATTGCTCACACACACACACACACACACACACACACACACACACACATACATTCTAGCAGTTCAGCCACCCTTACATCCCCTATCCACACACAAAAATCTACAAATAAAGTCACACACCAGTTCTTTTTGCTATCGCACCAAGGTATCGGCCCACATTCTACCGATTTTTGTCCTTGCTGTAGACAAAGCAAATACTCAGTGTGTGATGGCAACATCAGCTGAATAAAGGTCACAGAAGCTTGCTGAAAATTAGGCAGAAGTGCATTTCAAAGACCCTTTTATGTGTGAAGGCCTAAGTACCTTGCATTCCTACACACGCTCCTTGAAGTCTATTCCCACCTTCTTGACTCTCCCTTGACTTGTTCTTTCAGAAATGGCTCACTCTATCCCATCATTCCTCTTCTTTGTCTTTCTGTGGTTCTTTTTGTTTTCAAAGCCCCCTTCCGCCTTCACCTTCTTTTACCAGGTGAGCTCTGGCTTAGGCGGGTCAAGACATGTCTGTGGCCCTGTTTACTCTAGTTAAAGCAGAGCAGTGAAGTGTGTCAACCCCCATTCTGAGTATCCAGACTCCAGCGCTTTCATCTTCAAGGTGTTTGATTCCAACAGCAGTCACTTTGCTATCAGGGAATTAAGATGTGAAAGCTAAAGTATGGGATTACTGAATGATATACGTATATGTACAGAGACAGAGTCCTGTAAAAACTGAGCATGGAGGAGGAAAACTAATGCCGTGCAAAAAAAAAAGCATGATGGTTCTTTATCCTTAGTTAAACAATCTTAACCAACATTTCCCAAACTGTTCTCAAACTAAACAAGCACTCAGTGTTTAAGTGTCCTTGTTTGTTTCCTAATTCTTTGTTGCATACATGTCTCTGCTCCTAGATTGTCTTAACAGTACATCACATTTTCACCCATATTTGTATAATGTTTGGTGTCAAGGCAAAGACTTGTTCATTTCAAATATAACTTAAAAAAATAAATGTTTATCATGTTTATCAAACTACAAAAAAAGTCACGTAAGGATGGATATAAAGTTCTCTACTCAGTAATGGGATGTACTATGCTTGAAACCAGATTCAAGCATAGGAGGTCTTCTGCCAGAATCTAATGTGGGAAATACAGAAATACATACCAAGCTGACTCAAAGAAAGTCTAATACAGTAAATGTATAAGTCGAAGATTTCTACACAATGATATGAAACACTGAGAAAATATTGCCCATAGGAAAACATTCCAAGCACACATCCTCCCACTTACTTTTTTAATAAAAATTTTAATCCCAGATTTAAAATAAACCTTCTATTGGAAAGTGACTGAACTGACCTCACAAATGCACAATATAGCGTGCACAAAATGGAAGAAAGGCACAAGCACACACAATTTGTCTTTGATCCCATCTGTAAAACAGCTGAGTCTCCCCGAAATGCTTTGTTTGCCCTGCATCTGGAAACAGAAAAGGAGATGAGAGGGTAGTGTGGGGTAATGAAAAAGAAGATAGCAGTGGAAGGTAGAAGAGAGAGAGGACTCATAAAACCAAGTGGAAAGACCCAGCATTCTCAGACTGTTTCAGCTGGGTCATTTTTATTTTCTCCATCCCATCCTTGCTTTCCTCTGTCAACTTCTTCCTCTTTTTGTATTTGCTTTAAACGGTTTTTGCATTTCCTTCTCTTTCAGTTACTTTCCTCATCACAGCTGCTGTATGTTACTGCAGACAGCATTCTCAAACCCACATTCACAGGAAAGGTCCTGCTCTCAAAAATGTTCCCATGTTAGAACAACTCTTTAGTGCACTAGTTGGAAAAGCTAGTGCACAATATGTCTGTTTGAAAAGGCCAAATCAAATGTTATGGTTTTCATAGTATTGTGAGCATATTGCCATCATGAACTGGCTTGGGCAATTTAGATAGGGAGAACCATAACATTACATTTTTTCTCAGGTCCTCTGGCTCAGTTGGTGAATGGCAGTTGGGATATTAAAAAAAAAATTATTATTTGCATCTATGAATAAGCAGTTTGGGGTAATTCACAGGCTTTTGCTTTCTAGCTGAAAACTTCAAAAATGGTGGGAGAAGTGCGCCATCAGGATGGTTCTTTCATCATTTTAATGCATATATTTGTTTTTGCCATCTTTTTCTTCTGTGGTAGTGTTGGCCTTAAAGATAGGCAGCTTGTGATGACTACAATCTGTGGTACAAACTTGACCAAAAAGTGGAGCTGAGGGTGGTCTCAGTCTTACACAACTTAACATCAGCTATGTTGTATTTGTCTAAAAAATGCTTTCAGTGCTTTGCCTAGTTATATTTCTCTCTTCTGTCTTTCTCCATCCCCTCCCCTTACATTCCAGCATGACCCTCTCCTCCTCCCACCTGACAAAGCCAGCATTGTATCACAGATGCTATTTAATATGGAGTCCCTCTCTCAGTGTCCTTCATATGGGGCAATTCAGGGTTATCGTCCTCCCTTGTCCTTGGTAAACAGTATGTTTGCAGTAATCTCTTCAATAACATTTTAAATCAGATTAAAATGTCCCTCATGCATTCATATATACATGGCTTTTCAAAATACTGTATGCTTAATAATGTGCATCCCTTGTCCTTGGTTTGCATTGCTGTTGTGTGTTTGCATTTGTTTTGGTTAAAACCGCTGAAAGCCGATTAAAACGTGTCTGTGAGCCGCTTGTTAAACAGCACAAATATCTGTCACGCTCAAACTCTCTCACATCCCTACTGGCAGTTTTGCAGTCTTTTAGCAAAGTGCTAGATGACAGGAAAAAAAGTCCATTGTTTTTGCAGCTGACTCAAAGCTGGAGGAAATGTAAGTTGAATTTCTAGTGAGGGTGTGTGTGTCTGTGGAAAAGCCCAGATTACTTTAACTGCCACATGCAGGGGATCAACTCATGTTTGGTTTCCACAGGGCCGGATATGACAGCGAGACAAGGGGAGACAGTGAGCTAGTGGACGGGTTTACTAAAGCACACATATCTTCTTGTATGGTGAAATGAGCTGTGACTGCTGGAAAAGGAAAGAAAAGAGGAGATGGAGTTCGAGATAACAAAAGAAACAAACTATGTGTGTGTGTCTGTGTGTGTGCTTGTGTATTGGGGTATTGGGGGGGGGGGGGGGGCAGGTAGACACAGATTAAAATGCAGACTAAAAAATTCAGATATGAGGAAAAAAGATTAATGGTGAAAAATCCCCAAGTTCCACCAGTGGCCTCCAAACATAATATGAGCCTATACAGCACATATAATTCAAGCAGTTACCTTCATAAATCAGCATTACATACAGTTTCCAAAAATCTTTGTTTTTCTTAAGCTATTGGCCACTTCTATGCTCTCCACACTGACTTCTGCTTTTCCTTTTTCCACCTGGCAGATACCCAGTGAAATAAAAAGCAATCATATAAAATATGTTTTCAGCGTTACGGTTGGCAACAGTATGTCAGAAGAATTGTATCCACCGGTTTTTTTGCATCACGATAGATAGATAGATAGATAGATAGATAGATAGATAGATAGATAGATAGATAGATAGATAGATAGATAGATAGATAGATAGATAGATAGATAGAT